ACATTCAAATGACGAATTATTTTCACAATGAACTATTCACTATTTAAAGAATCAATTCTGAAAATATTGTGCAAAGGCTTATAAGCACTTTAAGGGACGCTCGAAAATGATGTTCAAATTAGTAGCTAGAAAAGACTCAGGTGTACATAAAACCCTTATCAGAAACATTGTCCATGCTTATACCTGTACAGTAAATACCGCTACCAGCGTATCCGTTGTTGCATCCACAGGTAAATGAGCCATCAGTGTTCTCACAAGTAGCGTCTGGGTGGCAATTATGACTGTTCACAGCGCATTCGTTAATATCTGACGAAAATATCGAGCAATAACAAACATATTAATTTTTGCTTTAGTAAGTAATTTTAATATTTGCTTAAATATCCAAATAAGAGCTCATTTTGTACAAAGTGTGTGTTTGTGTATGGGCACGCCGTCCTGTACCCTCGAATTATTGTATTCATTCGATCAGCTGTGGCTAAAAAACGTTTTTTTCTATTTCAGGTCCTATTGAGATTAAAATTCTTTGTTGGAGTTGTATCCATATTAATACACATATTAATGTGTATTCTCTTGCGCAACTATTAAAGAAAAAAGTTACTCTAGGGAATGGCCCGTGGTCTGATCAAATGGAAAATCATTACGCCTTAGTATTTAATTGATCTATTATAGACTTACCAACACAGCTAACTCCGTCTCCAGTGTATACCGAGATACAGGTGCACGTGAAGCTACCATGCGTGTTAGCACAAGTGGCATTCCGATGACAGTTGTGTTTGTACTCGACTAAATCAGTAGTACACTCGTTGATATCTGAAAACAGCAATGATTATAACCAATTGATCACGTAACAAATAATTAAAAACGGTTAAACATCCAGTAATGGATGGTATAAATAAAAACAATGATTGATATATGTCCACTTCTCAATGCCATAATCAGTTTTTGATCCTGCAGCACAAAAGTTCTACGCAATGGACCCTTCTTAAAAGTATTCTGGATGCAAAGCTAACATAAAAATACAAAAGAAATCACACTCTTTCTCGATGAAATTTGTGGCATTTCTTTTGTATTTTCATGATAGCCGACTCGCATTCAAGACAATTTTAAGCGGAGGGTCCATAGCAAGCTTGTGGTTACTAACCTGTACAACTTAAATCGTTCCCTAGAAATCCTGTTTTACAGCGACACAAGAACTCGGTTCTAGTATTGATACAGTCTGCATCCACATGACAATTATGGAGGCCCAATGTACACTCATTAAAATCTGCAGATGAAAAGAAAATAACTCAGTTAGTGCTTGAATCATAATTTATACGTATATCGCCTTAACGTGTTGATACAAACCTTTATACCATACACAGCTTTTGCCATCACCGGTATAACTGATCTTGCAAGTACAAACGTAGGAACCAATAGTGTTAGCACATGTAGCGTTAGAGTGGCATGAGCCAGGGATCTGACATTCATCTCGATCTGCCATGGATTGAAAATTGAAATAAATGAAGAGTTAGAATTTAAAAAATCTTCAATTTCAAAATTAAGATTATGTATAGCTCCAAATGGTTCACTTCTCCTTGTCCCTCCGTCTCCGATGACGAGAAGAAACGTACAGTTTGCCCCATATCCCTTTTGGTACTCACCCACTGCAGTGTATCTTGCTTTAAAGCCCAAGAACTCATTGTCAGAATCGCTTTTGAAAACAATTCTCATTGGTCCAATAGTTGTTATATCAGGAGGGGAAACCGAAGCGCAAAACTTGCCTTTGGTCGGAGAATCTGCGCTCGAACCTTCTTGCACCTATTTAGGGATGAGATATAAGTGCTACAATTAGTATACGTACACTTATGATTATTCTTTGGAATTTTTAAGTTCAGCGACTTATTCGAACCCCTTTGTATCCAGGTTTTCTTTCAATTTTTTAAGTCGTCTCCATCCGAACAAACGAGTGCTGATTTAAAATACCGCCTCGGAGAAATTGCTCTGGCAATAGCGGTTACTTCGCCTATTTTCTGAGGATTTTTTAGGTTTTAATCTAGTTAATTGTTGTTTTTAAGTAGGTTAGGTGTCCTTACTTAGTGGGAAACTGCTATATATTTTTGACACATAAATAAAGTTTATTATTATTAGTTATTATTATTATTATTATTATTATTATTATTATTATTATTATTATTATTATCAATTTTTCTCTAACTTATATTATTGCAATATTTATATTTGATTGAGATTATTACTGTCCATCTAAACACTTTGTACGTACATGCCCAGACCCAAACGAAACTCTTTATCTCAACACTCCCACTCATATCTGTTAGGGTAATGAGATGCACAAACGCGTGCACCTGGAATTGACCTGATTCAGGCCAATGGTGAAATACTGGATAAAAGGGACGCAAGTCCAAGATCATACTTTTTGCATTTATGAGTCAATTTATTTACCTGTAGATAATCAAAACCACAGCGTCTGTCAGATTCCATTTTGAACGCTTCAAAGCTCAAAGTGACTTTGTACCCAAGACCGACGTCCACTAACCAAACACAATTCTGGTTTGTTGGATAGATGTTGGGATAATTGGGAGACGATATCGTTCCAGATGTACCAGTAAACGTAACATCGCAGACTCCTGTTATTGAGATGAGGGGAAAATGACGAGAACATTGAGAGATATTAAAAGAAATTCGCATTCTTAAATAAGAGATCATGTTAATGGATACTAGTTTAACTGGGGTCAAAGTACCACTTGGGTACTATGGACCGACGTAGCGCCAAACGTTTGACTAAAAAACCGTAAATTTTCATTTTTTCCTAGTTAGGGTACCTGTGGATTTGGCGGGATAAATGTTCCCTTCAAAACACGTGTGCTTACTCCTGCAACACTGCTACTTTCATATGTGCATACCCACCTCGTGCTGATGCAAGGAATCCAAGATCTGAACCACTTTCATCCGAATGCATGTGGATTAGCATATTATTCCCTGTTGATAGGATTTCCTTCTGGTCTGACGTCAAAGATGTTCCACACAGTCGTTGCTTCAAAAGTGGTGAATCTTTTGAGGAATTGGAATGGATTGCAACATAGTCCTTCTGGCATCCATCGGACTGCTCTAGCTTGATTTTTAAAGAAATTAAATTATCCTTGTTAATAAATGGTACTATCAAAGAAATACTTAGTCCAATGATTTCGCCACGACGCAGTTGCGATGGCTCAACGCGAAAATTCTAATTTCAACGAAAGCAGTCGAGTGTACCATGAAAGTATAATAAACTACATAAACAAAAGATGAGTACAAAGGAGTTCTTAGAACAAACACAAAAACGAAAATTTAATGAGTGTAATCGTGTAATGTTATGCAAGTGTTACAAAGGCAAAGTATAATTGTGTCAGACGTGTTTCGCAACACTCATCTAACACTTTGGTATATGCATTAGAAACGTGAGCTTTTGTTTTTATACGGCTGGACTATCTTCATCTCTTGAAACATCAGGAGCGCAGGTGGATCATGTTTGAAGATGGTAATATTTTGGATAGTTGTTGTGGTTGATTACGTGTTGACGGAATACAGCGCGGCGACATTAGAGAAAAACGTTTGCGCATGCGTGCATTTCAGCAAGTTTTCTAAGAATTTAGAAGAGTTTGAGTGAGAAAATAAATGTTTGTTTTCTCCGAGTATACAAAAAAGTTTGCCAGTATACTTTTGTCAGACCAAGATACTGTATTAACAAACACAATATGAAAGAATTAGCCTTAAGTTTCAAGCATGTGCAGTAAGTTTTGGCATTAGGTGAAGTCCAATTACTTAGGCATGTTTGAAAGTCAAATTTACATATGTTTTGACTAATTTACATACGGATTCAGACGTTTTTCACTCGTGTCCAGCGCGGCGGATCCTTATTCGAAAGGGGGGTTCCAAAATGGCCACACCGCAGAAAAGGCTGGTGCGGTCGACTTCACAAAGGGGTGTTCCAATTTCATTAYAGCGGGCGTAAATAACATGATTGGCATAACAAAATCTCACAAAGGGTGGTTCCATGGAGCCCACTGTGAATCACCCCTGGATACGCTACTGCAATATAATGAAACTATAGACAACATGCTGCTATGTGAGGGTTATTGGCCAGAAACTTACCGAAAACACATTGAAGACAACTCTAATAAGGTTGCCAACAGAAACCTGAAGTATCCAATAGCAGTCTAGATTATCAGCATAAGGAGATACCGAGTAACTGGGCGACTTGATTAGTGTGCTTTGCCACGTGCTTATGTTGCCTCCACATGGAGAAGTACACTCTGTTATGCAACAATTAAAAAACCCGTAACATTAGCAAAACTGTCAGCAGACTCCAATAATGTGGAGAAGATTATCTGGGTTCGATGAACAGAATGCATTGTGGTTTAGATTCGATACAAACGACACCCGATATACAGCGATATGTAAATGCGCCCGTGGTTGGCTGCTTAGTTTCTTAGCTCTAGCCACGCCTTGACCGCAGCGGTCAAGGCGTGTGTTACGGCAGTGCTACGGCACTGCTACGGCAGTGTTCCACAAGGGTCCGTACTTGGCCCTGTATTATATTTGCTCTATACTACCCCTCTGGGTGACATCATGAGGCATCATGGAGTGACATTTCACTGTTATTCAGATGACTTACAGATCTATTTATCCTTCAAGACCGATGTTATTGGCGACCTAGAGCTGGCTCGGATGAAAGTGGAAGCATGTGTACGAGACATTGCTATGTGGATGCTGAACAACAAATTAAAGCTTAATGATGATAAAACTGAAATCCTGATATTCCATGCTAAGCACCGTCCGGCTCCACCACTACATGCAGTGCAAGTGGCTAGTTCCTCTGTCACTCCCTCAGAGTGTGCAAGAAACATTGGCGTTATTTACGATAATACCTTATCTCTGGACAGTCATATAACTCAGATTTGTAAATCTGCTTTTTATTTTATTAGAAACATTTCACGCATTAGGAAATTTTTAAGTTTTGAAACCACTAAGATATTAATTCACGCTTTCATTACAAATAAGTTAGATAATTGTAATGCCTTACTTTTTGGTTTACTGAAGCATCTTTTGCAGAGGCTGCAGTATGTACAGAACACTGCTGCCAAGCTGGTCACCTTATCACGCAAATCTCAGCATATTACACTTATTTTAGTACAGCTGCATTGGTTGCCGATTGAGCAGCGTATACGTATCGAATTTAAAATTCTTCTTTTTACGTATAAAGTTATCCATGGTATTGCGCCAAAGTATCTCTGCGATTTACTTGAACCTTATGCTCCTCAACGCTGTTTGAGATCTGGTTCTAAGAGGTTACTCAAGGTTTCAAATTATAATCTAAAGTCTTATGGATACTGCGCTTTTTCTATTTCTGCTCCAATGCTTTGGAATGCCTTGCCACTGCAAATTAAATGTAGTACATCTTTAAATATTTTCAAGAGTTATCTCAAAACATATTTATTTCGCAAAGCTTTTCATTGATCATTCGTTAAATCTTATTGACTTTTAGATTACATAGTTTTTTGATTTTGATATTACAGATATTGTTATTATTAATTATTATTTGCTTGTAAAGCGCTTTTGGACATTTTAGGAAAGGGCGCTATATAAATAAAATATTTATTATTATTATCATTATTATTATTATTATTAAGGTTTGATGAAGGAAAGACGTTTCTATCGCTATCCGAGAAAACGTATATTCTGTATTGAGCATTTAGCAAAAAGAAAAACAAATATATATATATTCATATATTAAATTGCTTAAATGGAATCGATCGAGTTTTCTAGAAAATTTTACCCAATTCAAGTTCAAGGAAGTAGCTATGCTGTGAAATTATAGTAACTGTCGTCAATGCTTTTACACCAAATTTTCAAAAAATATTGTTAAAGGTTAGAAAGGCTATGTTTTATACAGAATTGTATTCAGAAAGTGATATTTTGGTAAAATACTTACACGATGTACCAAGTCCCCAGAACCTTTCTTTTTCATAAAGATGATTATTACCTCAAATATATAACTTTCTTTGATTAAGAATCGTTAACTACACTGAAATTCTAAAGTTATCGAATATTGGCTCTCTTTACGGAATTGTGATAGTATTGGTAATGAGTTGGCATTACCTGAATAATGTACGAAATGGGAGTAAATTAAGAAAAGGTTGAGTTTAGTACCTGCATATTCAAAATATCCGCAAGACAGAAGAAGCAAGACCAGTCTTATTCCTGACATCGTCACAGCCGAAAATTAATTAAGACTAGTCCTGTAAGAAATAATATTTCAAAATTTCAAATTCATTAAACCTCATCTATTGCTTTCGCATTTCCCCCCTTTATAAATGTTTGGATGAAAGCAAACTTCATTAAGAGATGGAAAAAGATTTTCTTACCAGTTGGTAGGTATCGCTTCAGATAGTTTGAAGAACTTCTTTATTCTGTTAGGATTATCACCTGGGCCCTTCGTTTTCAATACTGGCTCAACTACAAGAAGATTGGACCACACCTCGACCACACTTTACATAAACAATATATATTTTGGCACTTTATAGGTATTCTTTATCAAGACTCGTGGTCAATTATCACCACCACCACACCATATCATAGTCTTTAGCGAAAACCGTTTTCAAATTGTATCAGCCAATAATCTTCGCAGTTATTGAAGAAACAGATGAAACAGATTTGTTTCTAAAGACATGCTTTGTCTTGACCATCAATTTTTAATTCTTAAATACCTTATCTTTTAGTAGCTGTTTTCGCATTACAACCGACCCTGATAATTAAAAAAATTATACGTGATTGCATTTTTGTTAAAGAACTATAATTATTATTGAAAACAAGCAAAAATATTTTCATGCTCCGACATGCAGAGGAAGAAGAAAGAAGCATAGAAGGAATGTATCAAATTCTCTACATAAGAATTACTATTTTTGGTACAGGAGAAATGATCCTCCAACCCCCTGAAATGGAAAACAGAAGGAAAATGTGATGACGTGAGCTCGTCTGGTAGGCGGAATTATATAGATTATTAATGAATTCTGATCTAGCTAGTCAGAAAAATTTCTCGTGATTTCTAATTAATGCCTTCACCAGAAACGAGTACGAGAACGGGCTACCACTGCATCGATCGATATGAAAACAAAGTTCTTAATTAAATTTATTGTTTTTATAAAGAAAACCAAAACCAAAACCAAAACCAAAAAATTAAAGGCATCTAATTCTGGCTAAATAGTTTGCGACGTTCGATACAGCTAGTGCAAGGGATTAGCTTAAGGTACAATCTTGGGCCCAGCTAGTCTCTCCCTACTTTGCCTACGAGAAAGAAAATTTATCCTACGTAATCCGTACACCAAGCATAGGTCGGTGTTAATTTGCCTTCAGGTCCGAAGGCTCATACGACTCCTTAGCTTCTGTATTCCGCTTCCCCTTTTACCCTAAAAATGGCTGCGGGGAAGACAAGAGCTCCTGCGGCAGTATTTGGATTTTGTGTAATTAGGAAATTACTATCTGGTAACAGGGTTGGAATTCCACCACATCTATGTTTTTGATAGCCTCCCCCCCCTCCACTCCCCCCTCCCAATTATAAAAAAAAGAGAAAATCAAGGGCGGATCCTGGGGGCAAAGGGGGACTGAAGTCCCCCTTCAGCAGAAAAAAACGATGCTTTTTTATATTGTTTTCCGTTGTGTTAACGGAAGAAACTCAATTAGCCCCCC